AGTTCCCTGGTCTGTACACCCGCTGTGCCCATTATGAGGGGTTCCCACCATCCCCATGCTGAGTTCCTGGGTCTGTACACACCCTGTGCTCATTAGGAGGGGTTTCCACCATCCCTGTGCTGAGTTCCCGGGTCTGTACACCCGCTGTGCCCATTATGAGGGGTTTCCACCATCCTGGTGGTGAGTTCCCCGGTCTGTACACCCACTGTGCCCATTATGAGGGGTTCCCACCATCCCTGTGCTGAGTTCCCGGGTCTGTACACCCACTGTGCCCATTATGAGGGGTTCCCACCATCCCTGTGCCGAGTTCCCGGGTCTGTACACCCGCTGTGCCCATTATGAGGGGTTCCCACCATCCCTGTGCTGAGTTCCCGGGTCTGTACACCCGCTGTGCCCATTATGAGGGGTTCCCACCATTCCTGTGCCGAGTTCCCGGGTCTGTACACCCGCTGTGCCCATTATGAGGGGTTCCCACCATCCCTGTGCTGAGTTCCCGGGTCTGTACACCCGCTGTGCCCATTATGAGGGGTTCCCACCATTCCTGTGCTGAGTTCCCGGGTCTGTACACCCGCTGTGCCCATTATGAGGGGTTCCCACCATCCCTGTGCCGAGTTCCCGGGTCTGTACACCCGCTGTGCCCATTATGAGGGGTTCCCACCATCCCTGTGCCGAGTTCCCGGGTCTGTACACCCGCTGTGCCCATTATGAGGGTTTCCCACCATCCCTGTGCCGAGTTCCCGGGTCTGTACACCCCGCTGTGCCCATTATGAGGGGTTCCCACCATTCCTGTGCCGAGTTCCCGGGTCTGTACACCCGCTGTGCCCATTATGAGGGGTTCCCACCATTCCTGTGCCGAGTTCCTGGGTCTGTACACCCGCTGTGCCCATTATGAGGGGGGTTCCAACCATCATTTTGGAGAATGTTACAGGAGGATCTGACACTCCAAGGTGGAGATAGACCAGGGGCGGACTGACGATTGGGGAACTCAGGCACTGCCCGAGGGCCCGGGGTCAGTAGGGGGCCCCAATGAGATGTCCCTGGTACCTTTCATAGGCTTTTTTGGGTGTGATTTGAGTGTGGGCAAGGACACAGGGGCCCCATAATCCCCTATTACCCAGGGTGCCCCATGAGTTGTCAGTCCGCCCCTGAGATAGACCATCAGAGATGATGACTAGGAGGTCCCCGTGTAGGAACATCAGATATAGGAAGTCATGGGGTGACCCTCTTGGCCAAGCAGCCTCCACCTAAAACTAATCTACCCCTTTGGGTGAACTGACCCTTCACCATGTTCATGTCATGCCCCCCCCCTTTTTATCCATCCCTCTATGGATCATTTCCTATCCTTTGAATAGAAATAGCGATCTGATTGGTTCACCCACCCAGCGCCAATCATAGAAAATGGCAGATCAATCAGATTGGTAACAATTGTTCCTCCTCCGTCTCACGTCTGTGGCCCGGTTTGGCCTTTTGAAGAGGACCGGCCTCTTCCCTGCGGCTGGGAATCCATTGAGGAGCTTAGACGTGCCTGCCTTTGCTGTGCGGATTATGCGGCGGTAACCCAACTCCTGCGGCGCGGTGAAAGTCCACCATTGGACGCAGCTAAGTCCAGTGTAAACAGAAGCCCCCCCCCCCCCCCCACTGAGCCGCCATTCCTAAGACAGCTGGGCCACTAATTAATAAAAAGGCAGAAAGTGATTGTGAAGGGCCCGGGGTCCCGGGGAGAGCAGAGAAAAGGGACGGAGGATCCGCACAGCCGGACTGAGTGCCTCTAATTAGATGTTTCTGCATCTTCTGCTAATCTGGTTACAGCCGTTCCCTTTCATCTCGCCATCCTAGTCCGTGGCGGAGTTCAGGGAAAAACACATTGACGCAGATATCTTAGGGCCCATTCACATCCGTGTGCTGTGAATAAGCACGTCAAATGTGATAACACGTCAAATGCGTCCAGTGTGCTGTGATAACACGTCAAATGCGTCCAGTGTGCTGTGATAACACGTCAAATGCGTCCAGTGTGCTGTGATAACACGTCGAATGCGTCCAGTGTGCTGTGTAACACGTCGAATACGTCCAGTGTGCTGTGATAACACGTCGAATACATCCAGTGTGCTGTGATAAACACGTCGAATGCGTCCAGTGTGCTGTGATAACACGTCGAATGTGTCCAGTGTGCTGTGATAACACGTCGAATGTGTCCAGTGTGCTGTGATAACACGTCGAATACGTCCAGTGTGCTGTGATAACACGTCGAATACGTCCAGTGTGCTGTGATAACACGTCAAATGCGTCCAGTGTGCTGTGATGTAACACGTCGAATACATCCAGTGTGCTGTGATAACACGTCGAATGCGTCCAGTGTGCTGTGATAACACGTCGAATACGTCCAGTGTGCTGTGATAACACGTCGAATACATCCAGTGTGCTGTGATAACACGTCGAATGTGTCCAGTGTGCTGTGATAACACGTCGAATACGTCCAGTGTGCTGTGATAACACGTCGAATACGTCCAGTGTGCTGTGATAACATGTCGAATACGTCCAGTGTGCTGTGATAACACGTCGAATACGTCCAGTGTGCTGTGATAACACGTCAAATGCGTCCAGTGTGCTGTGATAACACGTTGAATACGTCCAGTGTGCTGTGATAACACGTCGAATGTGTCCAGTGTGCTGTGATAACACGTCAAATGCGTCCAGTGTGCTGTGATAACACGTCGAATGTGTCCAGTGTGCTGTGATAACACGTCAAATGCGTCCAGTGTGCTGTGATAACACGTCGAATGTGTCCAGTGCGCTGTGATAACACGTCGAATACGTCCAGTGTGCTGTGATAACACGTCGAATGTGTCCAGTGCGCTGTGATAACACGTCGAATACGTCCAGTGTGCTGTGATAACACGTTGAATGTGTCCAGTGTGCTGTGATAACACGTCGAATACGTCCAGTGTGCTGTGATAACACGTCGAATGTGTCCAGTGCGCTGTGATAACATGTCGAATACGTCCAGTGCGCTGTGATAACACGTCGAATGTGTCCAGTGCGCTGTGATAACACGTCGAATACGTCCAGTGTGCTGTGATAACACGTTGAATGTGTCCAGTGTGCTGTGATAACACGTCGAATACGTCCAGTGTGCTGTGATAACATGTCGAATACGTCCAGTGCGCTGTGATAACACGTCGAATGTGTCCAGTGCGCTGTGATAACACGTCGAATGCGTCCAGTGTGCTGTGATAACACGTCGAATGTGTCCAGTGCGCTGTGATAACATGTCGAATACGTCCAGTGCGCTGTGATAACACGTCGAATGTGTCCAGTGCGCTGTGATAACACGTCGAATGTGTCCAGTGCGCTGTGATAACACGTCGAATGCGTCCAGTGCGCTGTGATAACACGTCGAATGCGTCCAGTGCGCTGTGATAACACGTCGAATGCGTCCAGTGCGCTGTGATAACACGTCGAATGCATCCAGTGCACTGTGATAACACGTCGAATGCGTCCAGTGCGCTGTGATAACACGTCGAATGTGTCCAGTGTGCTGTGATAACACGTCGAATGTGTCCAGTGTGCTGTGATAACACGTCGAATGCGTCCAGTGTGCTGTGATAACACGTCGAATGTGTCCAGTGCGCTGTGATAACACGTCGAATGTGTCCAGTGCGCTGTGATAACACGTCGAATGCGTCCAGTGCGCTGTGATAACACGTCGAATGCGTCCAGTGCGCTGTGATAACACGTCGAATGCGTCCAGTGCGCTGTGATAACACGTCGAATGCGTCCAGTGCACTGTGATAACACGTCGAATGCGTCCAGTGCGCTGTGATAACACGTCGAATGTGTCCAGTGTGCTGTGATAACACGTCGAATGTGTCCAGTGTGCTGTGATAACACGTCGAATGCGTCCAGTGTGCTGTGATAACACGTCGAATGTGTCCAGTGTGCTGTGATAACACGTCGAATGTGTCCAGTGTGCTGTGATAACACGTCGAATGCGTCCAGTGTGCTGTGATAACACGTCGAATGTGTCCAGTGTGCTGTGATAACACGTCGAATGCGTGCGGGTCGCGGCTTTTACATAGGTTGCATTTAGCGCTCACTCACACGAACAGATCGTTTTGTGTGCATCTAAATGCAGCAGTCTCCAATGAGCGCGTACACACAGCTGCGCCTGTATGCGAAAATGTGCTCTGCATTTAGCCGCGAGCGAAAAAAAGTAGGACGCACCTGTGTTCAGGGCCGCACAGATCTGCCGATCTTACGTGCGTACATTTGTAGACATTCATTTGGATAAAAGAAGAATTTTCTGCGTCTAAACGCATCGAAACGCGCCTCAACACAAGTATTGTCCACAGGATCTGCAGCTGAATAGGCCCCACCAAATATGCTGCATGCCACACGTTTCTAAACTCAGCACACGGATCGTTCACATCTGTGTGCCGTGATGCGTGACAACGCATGTGTGCTATTCACATTGAGTGGACAATGCAGTACACAGGTGGCTGTGCGATTGAGTGTTGTATTTCCTCCCTCGATCTCTTCTATTCCCTCCGTTTCTTTTTTTTTCCCTTTATTTCCTCCCTGTTTTCTCTTTTACTTCCTGTATTTCCTCCCTGTTTCTCTTTTACTTCCTGTATTTCCTCCCTGTTTCTCTTTTACTTCCTGTATTTCCTCCCTGTCTCTCCTTTATTCTGATGTTTGGAGTTCAGTTACAAATTTTCATTCTTAATAAGTAAAATACTTTAGGCAGATAAATAATAACATTCTTCATGCGGGTGTCAGGTGATAAGTGATGGAGCGATGACATTGGAAAAAGGGGCTGATAGAAATGTGCCACACATGGGGGAAACCTTCGATCACCTGAATACCGGCACTGAGCACACACCTTAAATCCCCCCTCCAGCCTCCCCTTCAGTCTTGCACAGGTATACCAGCTCCTCCCCTTCAGTCTTGCACAGGTGTACCAGCTCCTCCCCTTTAGTCTTGCACAGGTGTATCGGCTCCTCCCCTTTAGTCTTGCACAGATGTACCGGCTCCTCCCCTTCAGTCTTGCACAGTTGTACAAGTTCCTCCCCTTCAGTCTTGCACAGGTGTACCGGCTCCTCCCCTTCATTCTTGCACAGGTGTACAAGTTCCTCCCCTTCAGTCTTGCACAGGTGTACTGGCTCCTCCCCTTCAGTCTTGCACAGGTGTACAGGCTCCTCCCCTTCAGTCTTGCACAGGTGTACAGGCTCCTCCCCTTCAGTCTTGCACAGGTGTACCGGCTCCTCCCCTTCAGTCTTGAACAGGTGTACAGGCTCCTCCCCTTCAGTCTTGCACAGGTGTACCGGCTCCTCCCCTTCAGTCTTGCACAGGTGTACCGGCTCCTCCCCTTCAGTCTTGCACAGGTGTACCAGCTCCTCCCCTTCAGTCTTGCACAGGTGTACCGGCTCCTCCCCTTCAGGTGCACAAGACTGATTTTTCATTTAGAAGGTGACAAGGAAATGAGTAGAATGTTGGCCTTGTACAGGGATGGTGTCCCCCCCCCCCCCGACATTATAGAAGGTCTGGAATGTTTCTGCAGAGTGAAGAACATCCATTGGTGCATGCTGGGGGTTGTAGTTCCACACGGCTGTCTTCAGTGAGATAGGCGCCGCGGTTTTCCTGATATAAAGTGACAACAGCTGCAGCGCAGCCCATCGCAGTGATATGGTGATTTTCTGTTGTCTGGATGTAATGTCACCATTAGTCAGGGCGATCCGTTCCCAGCCCCCCCCTTAGATCTGTGACACCAGAGAGGGATGATGAGCCTCCGACTCATGAAATGTTATATGGAGACCACTCTACTGCAGAGGTTGTGCATGCTGGGAGTTATAGTCCATCAGCAGCTGCGGACCGCAGTAAATCGAAGATCCTGAGTGTGGCTCCCAGGGGCCCATTTGCATTTCTGAGTTTAAAAAATGCATCTTTCATCAGCCGCCTGTTTTAACCCCTAAGGGCCGGTTCACACTCCATGCGTTTCAGTTGCTTTTGTCTGCATCCAAAACGCACAGAAAGTTGGTGATCTGGTTGTCGGTGTCATCGTTCACATCAGCGCTCGCAGTGCTGGTGCGTTCCGGTTGCAGAAAAAAAGTAGAACAGGCAGCATTTTTCCTGCACAGAACTGCGCTGGAATGCGGTAAAACACATAAAAAATGCACCGGAATGCACCAAAAATGCACATGTCCCTATTTAACCACTTCCTGTCTGGCCCATGTATATAATTGGCCTCCCCGCCCCCTGCTTGTGCACACTCCGTGATCCAGTGCCTGCTGTGTCCTCCAGATACAGTGGAACACCGATCGTCGGATGGGACCTACCTCTGTGTGAGGTCCCAATCATGTGGTCACTGACTGGCCAATCAGTGATCACATGCAGAGTAGTAAGCAAGATGTCACTTCTGATATCATTGCTTACTACGTGTGAAACCGCGCAATTGTCATTCAAAGTGTGATAGCGCTGAAAGCTGAAAATTGGCCTGGGGGGGAAGGGGGGGAAAGTGTCCGGACTGGAAGGGGGGGAAAGTGTCTGGATTGGAAGGGGGGGAAAGTGTCTGGACTGGAAGGGGGGGGGGAAAGCGTCTGGACTGGAAGGGAGGGGAGTGTCCGGACTGGAAGGGGGGGGGGAAGTGTCCGGGACTGGAAGGGGGTGAAAGTGTCCGGACTGGAAGGGGGGGAAATTGTCCGGACTGGAAGGGGGGGAAAGCGTCTGGAAGGGAGGGACTGGAAGGGGGGGTGAAATTGTCCGGACTGGAAGGGGGGGTCCTGGGAAAGCGTCCGGACTGGAAGGGGGGGTGAAATTGTCCGGACTGGAAGGGGGGGAAAGCGTCTGGAAGGGGGGGACTGGAAGGGGGGGTGAAATTGTCCGGACTGGAAGGGGGGGAAAGCGTCCGGACTGGAAGGGGGGGAAAGTGTCCAGACTGGAAGGGGGGGAAAGTGTCCGGACTGGAAGGGGGGAAAGCGTCTGGACTGGAAGGGGGGGAAAGCGTCTGGACTGGGGGGGGGGAGTGTCCAGACTGGAAGGGGGGGAGTGTCCGGACTGGAAGGGGGGGAGTGTCCGGACTGGAAGGGGGGGGGGGAAGTGTCCGGACTGGAAGGGGGTGAAAGTGTCCGGACTGGAAGGGGGGGAAAGCGTCTGGACTGGGGGGGGGGAGTGTCCAGACTGGAAGGGGGGGAGTGTCCCGGACTGGAAGGGGGGGGGGGGGGTGTCCGGACTGGAAGGGGGGGGGAAGTGTCCGGACTGGAAGGGGGTGAAAGTGTCCGGACTGGAAGGGGGTGAAAGTGTCCGGACTGGAAGGGGGGGAAATTGTCCGGACTGGAAGGGGGGGAAAGCGTCTGGAAGGGGGGGACTGGAAGGGGGGGTAAAATTGTCCGGACTGGAAGGGGGGGAAAGCGTCCGGACTGGAAGGGGGGGGTGAAATTGTCCGGACTGGAAGGGGGGGAAAGCGTCTGGAAGGGGGGGACTGGAAGGGGGTGAAATTGTCCGGACTGGAAGGGGGGGAAAGCGTCCGGACTGGAAGGGGGGTGAAAGCGTCCGGACTGGAAGGGGGGGAAAGTGTCCGGACTGGAAGGGGGGGGGAAAGTGTCCGGACTGGAAGTGGGGGAAAGTGTCCGGACTGGAAGGGGGGGAAAGTGTCCGGACTGGAAGTGGGGTAAGTGTCCGGACTTGAAGTGGGGTAAGTGTCCGGACTGGAAGGGGGGTAAGTGTCCGGACTGGAAGGGGGGGAAAGTGTCCGGACTGGAAAGGGGGGGAAAAGTGTCCGGACTGGAAGGGGGGGAAAGTGTCCGGACTGGAAGGGGGTGAAAGTGTCCGGACTGGAAGGGGGGAAAGTGTCCGGACTGGAAGGGGGGAAAGTGTCGGGACTGGAAGGGGGGGAAAGTGTCGGGACTGGAAGGGGGGGAAAGTGTGTCGGGACTGGAAGGGGGGAAAGTGTCGGGACTGGAAGGGGGGAAAGTGTCGGGACTGGAAGGGGGGGAAAGCGTCCAGACTGGAAGGGGGTGAAAGCGTCCGGACTGGAAGGGGGTGAAAGTGTCCGGACTGGAAGGGGGTGAAAGTGTCCGGACTGGAAGGGGGTGAAAGTGTCCGGACTGGAAGGGGTTAAATTGAAAAAAAGAGAGGGGTAAAAAATAAACTGGAAAGCATCAAAAACGCACCGAATAATTTAAAAAAATGCTCTGTTTTGCTAAGTGGCAGCTTTTAGTTTTGCGCATTCATATCGCCGAATAGCGCCCGCCTCTTTTCTCTGTCCGATCTCCTCTGTGAAATCCCAGCACAGAACCTAAGCTGGCCATACACTGATAGATTTCCAAAGGATCGTTTGTAGGTAAATTCTCTACTCAGCGACTTGACGAACGTCGCCTGATTTAAATTTTTTTGCGCCTTTTAGAACTTCCCTGAATGAAAAAACTACATTCATTGTTAGAAATTTCTTTGAGAAAATGTTTCCATGCTGCTCCTTCCAACTCCTGCGGTCAAAAACAAACTTTGATTTGGTCCTCATAACTGGAAAATTGCGCATTTTCTTAGCAGCCGATGAATTCTCGCAAAACGTGTCCAAAACTGACAAAAAAAAAATGTGTAAAAATTGAAAGAAGCGACAAATTAACGACCATGAAAAGTAAAAAGAAAGATCGTACACTACTACAGGGGCGACCGAGCATGCGCAAACTTCTGCGCGCTCTCACGCGTCACCTCTAGGGCAGCGCATTCATTTCAATGGGCTGCCCTATGCGCAAAAAAATGCAGAAAAGAAGTTCCTGACCCGTTTTTTTTAAAATGGCGCTGCGCTAAATTGCATGGTGCAGGTGCGTGGGGTTGCCGCACGTTTACTAAAAGGCAGAGCATTTCTGTGCATGTCAGAAAAGCGCTCGATTTTGCGTGCGTTCCCAACACCCAAAGGTGTGAACCTAGCCTCAGTGCGCATTTTTACCTAAGGGATTCGTGAACGGGCGTTTTCCTGTGCGTTTGCGGAATGTGCAAAGAACACGCGTTGCATGTTGTTAAGGGCACCCCAAAGACAGCAAGCAGATGCGCGTGTTTGCGTGTGCAAATGCACGGCGGATGAGCCAAAACACGTTGGTTAAAAAAGACGCAAAGCTCAACGGCCAAAAACAGTGCAGGAGCTTCTTTGGCGCACGAAGGGTGGCCCATTGAAATGAATGAGTTGCCCTATCTGGATAGCGCCAAAAATGCGCAAATGACAGGCATTCATGAGACGCTCGGTGTGACTAAAGGGCCCCCGATGTGTTCTCAGTGCTGCTTCCTAGTACACAAGTGTGAGCGGCCCGCACCCAGCCGGGCAGAGAGATCACACTGTACACACAGCTCTCTGAGCACCGCCACATGTCACTGGAGGGTCTTAGGACCAATGGAAATAATGGATCCCAGGCTGGGGAAACAAGGCCGGATCTAGGGGGGGGCTGGGGTGGGCTCTCCCCACCCAGATGTTAGCTGTGCCCACCCAGATGTTAGCTCTGCCCACCCAGATGTTAGCTCTGCCCACCCAGGTCTCTGAAAATGCATCCACTAATGATGAGGCTGTCTGATGCAGACATTTGATGTAAGGAAGCATTCTGATGGTAACAATCCATGTAAGGGGGGCACACTGATGGGGACTCCTGATATAAGGGGGCACTCTGATTGAGATGTTCATATGTAAAGGGCCACTCTGTTGGGGACAGTTGATGTAAAAAGGCACTCTGATAGGACACCTGATGTAAGGGGGCACTCTGATAGGGACCCTGATGTAAGGGGGCACTCTGTTGGGGACATCTGATGTAAGGGGGCACTCTGGTGGGGACCCTGATGTAAGGGGGCACTCTGCTGGGGACGATTGATGTAAGGGGACACTCTGATGGGGACAGCTGATGTAAGGGGGCCACTCCGGTGGGGACCATAATGTAAGGGGGCACTCTGATGGATGCACTCTGATGGGACACCTAATGTAAGGGGGGCACTCTGATAGGAAACCTAATGTAAGGGAGCACTCTGTTGGGGACATCTGATGTAAGGGGGTACTCTAGTGGGGACCCTGATATAAGGGGGCACTCTGATGGGGATACCTGATGTAAGGGGGCACTCTGATAGGAACCCTGATGTAAGGGGGCACTCTGGCGGAGACCCTGATGTAAGGGGGCACTCTGGCGGGGACCCTGATGTAAGGGGGCACTCTTCTGAGGACGATTGATGTAAGGGGGCCCTCTGATGGGGACCCTGATGCAAGGGGGCACTCTGATGGGGACATCTGATGTGTAAGGGGGCACTCTGATAGCACACCTGATGTAAGGGGGCACTCTGGTGGGGACCCTGATGTAAGGGGACACTGTGATGGATGCACTCTGATGGGGACACCTGATGTAAGGGGGCACTCTGATGGGGACCCCTGATGTAAGTGGGCACTCTGATAGGACACCTGATGTAAGGGGGCACTCTGATGGGAACCCT